CGACCCTGTATTACCCTCTCGACTCTAAACATTCAACCAGGTATCATCGATCCTCTCCAAGGTCTGCGCTGGGCGAACCTAACAGCTATAAAAGGAAAAAAAACTTGAGCCAACAAGACAGTCTCCAATGGGCAAACATCACAAACCAATCTCTCCATCTTAGATCACCAAAACAACTGGGTCTGCAAAAAAAAGTGCTTTAGACACCAACGTCTTCGGCGTTATACCAGGAGACGATGGGAAAGAGCTCTACAACTAGCCCCAAAGCTTTGGACTTCGTAATTTTTTTCCCGATCCGTCTGGGGCTTTAACAGCAGGCCAGAGAAGATCACCCTAAGGTATCCAGGCAGTCATAATTGCTGTTAACTTTAGTCAAGAAAGAGTTTACTTAAGAAGCTCACCGGTCTTTTTTCGGGATCATTGGACGTTGAACTACATTGCCAACAAATACATTAGAACTTGACAAAGTTGACACAAAACAGCCTTTAGGGGTCACAAAAGTCACAAGAAGGTGAATTGGAAGAAAAACTTCAAATTTATCTAATAAATACAATTTTACTTAGGCGTCAAGAAACTGACGCAGAAAATTTATCGAGATTGGAACAGCAGCGTCAAAATCGACAAATAAAGAATCCATTATGTGAGGGATCAACTTTTCATTGTACCTTTACAGTAATCTTTCAAATCTTTAGAGATCTAAATTTAGATTATGAAATAAGTAGAAAATGTAATTGCGTTTTTGTGGCAATAAAACTCCAGGACTTTGTTGCTCTGGTAATAAAGTTGTAGGATAAGAGAAACAAAAATTTTTTTTAATATATATTTTCTGGAAGTTTAAAATCTTAACAGCTTTAAAAAATAGCCCTTTTCATAAATTATACGGGAGAAACTGCAAATCAACGGCTCCTTATGGCCAACGATTATTTTATGGCATAAGGAACGCACAGTACTTTTCAGCATACTTGTATTTTTTGAAATGTTTGCAGCATATTATTTGACCAAATAAACTGTATGGATTCCGATCAAATATGTTTTTAATGAGAAGATTTTTGTTCTGAGAAGTGTCAGGAATAGATGTAAAATTTCTCACTAAAAACGTTTCACATTACATGTCAACAACTACGGTCTTCCATTCAGTAAGTCTTGGGCGAAGCCGAGACGGGGGGCCACTATTTATAGATATAGGAGCTCATGTCAATGCCACAAAAATATCAAGTCGCTTGCGAGCGTGACAAGGTAAATTTAAGGAAGCAGATGAAACCTCGGTGTCCGCGCTACTGTTTATTTCAGATGTGTATACTTGAACTTTTAAATACCGTAAAATAAATATTTTTGCCAGTATGCCTGATGTAATCTAGTTTAACTCAGTCTCTTTTATCCTACTCCTTAGCTTTACTGACAAAATATAGGCCAAAAACTTGTTAGAAAAACGAAAATGAGACATGTGTATCTCAAAATGCTTCAAACAAGATCTTTTCATGCTCAGTCTTCGAGAAATGGTCTTATCGTTAAGTTAGCTGAAAGCCAAATTTTTTCTGTAGACGATTGGGATTGGTGTGTTTTCAAAATCAAGCAGAGCTGCCACCAGTGTGATATAGGCAACAAGTACTTGCTAATTTCACACTAGATAGCATGCAGCGTTGAGAGTTCTAAGATGGTAGAGCGCTTGCTTCTCGCCTGGAGGGCTCGGGTTCGAGACTCTGCTCTGTCACTTTCTCCCAGGTAACTAGGTGGTGTTTTTAATATGACCTAATTCACTAGGATATTATATAAAAAGGCTACTGGTTTATAGCATTTTGGCGTGGCATGTAGATACGCAGTTATTAGTCAGAAACAACAAAATGCCTTAGAAAAGGCGGGATGGTGAATATGACTCTTTCATAATAAAACCGTCCCCTAAAAGCTTCGCCCAGATGGTGAGTACCCCTCCTCTCATTCCTTTGAGAGCAAACTGCAGGCCTCTAAAATTCTCCGTTATTTTCCATCTTCCTTCTTCTTTTGCGCCCTTTTGTCTTCGAGGGGAGTGGTCCTCACGGACCTGTCCCATGCGAGGAGGTTAGTTTTTATTCAGTAGACGCACCAGGTGAATCCGACACTACTACTGGATTACCTGGGGTGTCTAAATAAAATGAATGTGCGATTTGCATAGTTAATAATCATAAAATTATGATTAATATTATATAGTAAAATAAAAAATCATTTAATAAAAACAATTGTCTTAGTTACTTATACATCACTTTTACAATTTTAATATCTATTTTCGTAATAAATAATTATTAATTGTCAGAATTTTTCAGGTATTAAATAACTGTAATTTGGAATGTTTGGATTTTATTAGAACATAAAAAAGACATTATGATGAGAGCTAGTTAAATAAATGACAAATTTCGGATTTTTGATGTGTATAATTACTAAGTCTTTTATCTAAAAATTTTTTTGGTACAAGTAGTTGAATTTATGTAGTTAGCTTGAAGAAAAATTGCTGAGAATCATATGATAAATTGGTTAAATAAAAGAAAGAAAAAGAAAAAGGCATCTTAGTTCAAAATTTTAACACAGGTTACAATGGGACTTTTCGAATACAGGCAAAAAGAGCTACTTAAGTAACCGAGAAAATTCTGAGAAATATACCGTTAAAAAATTTACAATACGTACTATTTCATACAATTTTAAAACTGTTGGATCACCAGTATAAATACAAAGTAATGAATCATTTATCAATTATCTTGTAACTTGTCTGTTGCATACGTGAATGTCTCGAATATTTGGCAACAGAGTAGCCATATATATATATGAAATANATTTACATCCCGTTTCCGCTGCTGATGTAGGAGAAAATTTTTTTTTACGTAAGATTGTGTGATACATGTGTTTCTTACATATATAGTATGTTGACATTACACAGTTTAAAACAATCCAGATGCACGGACTGACTTAAGACATTATTTATGTAGTTAGCTTGAAGAAAAATTGCTGAGAATCATATGATAAATTGGTTAAATAAAAGAAAGAAAAAGAAAAAGGCATCTTAGATAAAAATCCTGAAACTATATTTTTTAGACAATTAATTTTGTTTGGTAAATGTACAAACTATTTGTACAAATAAACCTTTGCACTTATTTATACATTTAAATGAGCAACTTTAAGTAGAAATTTAATGAAGTGGGACAGTTGTAGATCACCGTAGCTATGTTGTAGGGACTAAGTTTCTATACAGCAATTTGTTATATGAGCGATATCTAATGTTATTAAGTTTTTTTAAATAAACTTATAAAAAAGGTATTTTCCTAAAAAGTTATGATATACTTTAAAAATAGCTTTGAACAAATCTAAAATGTTAGCCAAGTTTGATACATTAAACTTTTATTTTGTAAGGAATTTTTGAAGCTTTTATACAGTGACAATAAATAGTTTTTTTTTTTTTAATCTATCGCCTTGAAAAACTCTGAAATTAAAATATAAAAACGGTAAAGTTTTTTTCAAATTTTTGGTGCAGCATAAATTTTGTATGACATTCGTAGTAAAATACTGTTTAGTAATCATACTTTAACAAAATCAAACCAACTAAGTAATATTTACTTTTGACTGGTACTTCATGCGAACTTTACATCAAATACATTTATTCCTTCCTATGTCGAAAGTACATATAAATGTTAGGGCAATAGTCAATATTACTTCTTTTGATTTTGTTAAAGTACGAGTACTAAACATCATACTACGAATGTCGTACAAAATGTATGCTGCATCTAAAATAAAAATAAAAAATTTACCGTTTTTATATTTTGGTATCAGAATTTTTCACGGCTACAGATTCAGAGGGAACAAAACTTTTTATTGTCACTGTATGAAGGCTTCAGAAATTCCTTACAAAATATGAACTCAACACATCAAACTTACCTAACATTTTAGTTTTGTTAAAAGATATTTTTAAGGGTTTATCAATTATACATAACTGATTTTATTATTACTGTCACGAATACTTTACATTCATCATTAATGTTTTTTTAATTTATTTGACTGGCACGCATAACATTGAATTAAAAAAAAATTTGGTTTAACTAAAAATCGTTTTGTCTAGTTACAACAAATGTGTTATAATTTTAATGGCAGGATTTTACAATAAAAATATTGAAGAAAAATGCATTAAGTTTTGATGATCAATTACAACTCTATAAGACTAGGATTTTAAACATAATTTCAAATTCAAATTGTTGAGTAAGTTATCTTAAATTATTCAAGATAATAATTTTTTTAATTTTCCTAAAAACTTGTAGAACTTCCTCAGCTTGTGCAATGGCTAGTATGTAGCCAGATTTTTAATTAGAAATAACTACATCTCGAAATAAATTATAAAGATTACTTTTTCTTTACTTCATTTATTTACACTCAATTCAAGCAATCTCTTACAACATTATACTAATGATTACGTGAGCATAAACAATAATTGGTTTTACCTTAGATTAATAGTTTCATTCTTAATGAAACCTCGCACCTATTTCTATATAAAAAAAAGTACCCTTGTGTACTACGTATATGTAAATGTATTATATTAGTATACATAAATTATCTTCTTAATATAAATAAGGCAAGATCATCACATGATGCCATAGTGCACACACAGGCAATATCTTAGGGCATCAAGAACCTGTGGATCAGTTTAGTCCTGACAATACATTTTTATCCTTGGGTTCAAATTTTTTTTTAAATAATTGAATATTTCTTTGATTACTCAGCTTGATTCTTTAAAAGTACTTCCCTTGTACAAGTTATAGTGCACAACCATTTATATTAAAACTTGTAATATATCATATTTAGCACAAAATTCTGTGCAAGTCGTGACGGGAGAGTGATAAATATTACATATTAAAAGAGAAAGCTACATATATGATTATTGTCATTAAATATTGACAACTTAGTATTATTGATGGTTATTTTATTGTTTAATAATTAAGTACAAGAATAATGATCATACCAAACTTTCAGAATAAAATATGTCACTATTCTACATTTACCGATTTTATTTTACTTTTTAATTTAGTTACAAGACATGTGAGATTATAGTACCAAAAATTTTTACTGTAAATTCTATTGTTATTTTATCTTGCAGAACAGTGTAAAAAACGTTGATAAGAACTACCGCTAAATTATTAGATATGATATTAATCGTACGATCACAGTTACAGTGTGTACAAAAAAACTAAATCGTAAATCCATATTGATTCAAAAAATAAAATAACATTTATCGAAACTGTCTTGTATAATAATACAAAAAGTTTTAGGGCGATAAATATAGTCGTTTTATCAGAAACTTTTCACAATTTATAGTCAAAGTTATTTACTTTATCATTTTTTAAAGATCAGTTCGAAATTTGACACTTACATCGTAAAAAATTTATTTATCAAAAATACTTCAATATGTATAGTATTGCCTAATCTTATTATCGACTATTAAGCTTTTTAACCACTCACACAAAACTTACTTTAATATGTTGTCATTCATAAATATAAGCGTAATTAGATTATCTAGATTTTACATTAATTGGTCAAACTTATTACATATATACATATTTACATCCCGTTTCCGCTGCTGATGTAGGAGAAAATTTTTTTTTACGTAAGATTGTGTGATACATGTGTTTCTTACATATATAGTATGTTGACATTACACAGTTTAAAACAATCCAGATGCACGGACTGACTTAAGACATTAAAGATAAACTAATAGATGATTCGTTATTGACATCTAGTTTGAAAAATCGAAAAATCAAATTTGTTTGTAATGATCGCAAACTGTACATACTACGTTTGCTTTCTATATTTTGATACGTGAATAGAGCTAGCTTTGATTTACGTTTATGAATGTAAAATTATGTTATACAACTCTATTGCCATTAATCACATTAAAAATTAAATATATTGATATCCTGATGATGATAAATAAGAATGAAAAAGTACAATACTACTATTGATGTTACAAACATGAAATTGTTTCTCCTTCTTAAATCCACCAAGTATTAGCACAACGTATTGTTAGGTGATGTAATTTTATCTCAAGTATCATATCCATCTGTGCAGCGATTTAAAATTGATTTGCATGATCGAATTACTTTTGCCACTGAATTACTTTCATGCTAGATAAATTATTGTTCAATTTTAGAATACTTTAGATATTGACTGTACTATAAATTTTTGTACAATTTTCACAAAAATTATTAACGGTATCACCTAACACTTGAAAATGTTTATCAAAAATTACACGACAGTAGTAGTTCATACTTTTTCTTGTCTTCGATTGCCACTGTAAAGCTGATAGGTTTTAGGTCAATGTGTTTCTTTGTACATTACTTTTGCAACAAGATACCAACTTACTTTTTCTTATTCTTAACAGTATTGTATATTGTATCATAACAATGAACGACGCGTAACACATCAGTTCCATCATCAATTTGTTCTTCGGAAACTGGTATCATTTATTGATCAAAGAAAAGTAAAAAATGCCTTTTACACCCTATACACATTTGCACTAGCATGTCCATTCAGAAAGTATTATTATTTGTTACTATTTTTCTCTCAAAGTTATACAGTGGTAATACAATGTAATCACAGAACAACATAAGATACATTAAAAATAACATTGAGAGAAGTTAAAGTAAACTCTTTTTCGAATGTCTGGAGTGGGTTCAGACGTGAAATCAACAAATCGAGTCATGAATGTTCCATTGTCTTATTACACCCATTACTATGAGTATTATACTTTTAATTGAAAAGATCCATCGTAAAGCAAACTTTTTGACACACTGCTCATTGTTGCTTATACTAATACACCATCTACACCATTCTGGATATTCTTATTTTTGTTACAAGAGATTATCATTATACTCTCGAAAGATTCTAGCACCCTATGCTTCGAAAGAAACTCTTCATTTAAAAAAGTATTAAAGCTACTGATCTAGTTTGTTGTTACTAATGTAGCTTGTTCTCGAGTAGGTGTTGCATGGAGAATCCACGAGAAAAGACTAGTAAAATATCGGATATCTAAGCATACGCGTTCCATATCTCCTCTTCGTACCATAGAAGCACCCCTAGCCTATACTCTGCACAGTAGCTAGCTCCACGTAGAAAACGTGAAATCTTAAGTGCCCAAGCAACAATCGGATACCGTATAAAAATAGTTTTCAAAATAAAAAGGGTTCCAGTGAGCCACTTTGCCGCGGATTCCGTTCAGACGATGTCCTCCCTGAGGTTGGCCAACTCCTGCAGGGCCGCGGGGTCGATCGTTGGCTCCTCGGGCTCCTCCTCCTTAGTCGTGAGTAGTGCGTTGAAATATACGTCGATGTCTTTAGAGGCTTTGACCGATGGCCACCTCTCATTGAAGTAGCTCATGTGCTTGCGCTGCTGCAACTCGGCCTCGACCAGCAGCTGGTTCGACACTCCGAGATCCTTTGGCTTGTAGGTCAGAATTTTGATGATGCTCCAAACCAGGCAGACCACACCCGCCAAGAAGGAGCCGTACGTGATGATGTCCTGCAGGCATGGCAGGATGTTCAGGTAGAAGAGAAACCGGGCATGTAGAAGTAGCGGCATCTCGTGCATCCCCTATGCGGATAAAATTAGGACTTTATAGGTAAATCTTTTCTTTCCTTATAGTACCTATTTGCATGAAAAAACTACTTTTTGTTATTCATGAGACGGGGAAAAGAACGTTAAAATAAACTGTCTGTATTATTTTTCTAGTGACTTTGATAAATTTGTAACGTGATATGGGTTTGGGCTTCAAGTAGATTTATTTGGGATATAGCAGCAGCTTAATAGTTCCCAAATTCTACGTCTTTATACTGTACCCCCTAATTAAATAAGCTGTGAAAGTAAATGACCGGTTTTTCGAGATAACACAACGCGGAATTGGGTATTTGCATGTATATGGGATGTTTTACGAGCAAAAAAAAAAAAATTGTAACTTACGATTTCGAACCACAGTAGGGGGAGCACAAGATTCGAAAAGCCCTCCACGTGCTCAATGGTGCTGATGTCCTGCAGTGCAATGTTTATTTGAAAGCGAAAGGCGAGATCCACCGGAAGACCGGACTTTGGCTGAATGAAGAAGTAGGACTCGTGCAGGTCTTTGATCGGCTTGAGTCCTTCGACTGCTGTGAGAAGTTTTGGATCCGACTGATAAAAGTGTGGGTATGACAATGCAATAGGAAAACCTACAATCAATACAAAAACAGCGGATGGTTGATAGAGCTACAGTTGAGTAAAGATTACTTTGATTCAGTCGTATGAAAAATTAGAATTTAAAAAAAACCATTCATAGACATGTAAACGTCATTTTATAAGAATTCTTTTTTTTTTTTTCTTTTTTTTTTTTTGTGAGCTTGTAAGCCTGCCAATATACAGAGTATTTTTTTTTGTATGGGATGACCGTATAAATATATCCTACAAACAACTGATTTGAATTGAAAACTTATCTTTCCAAACTTGCTTTTATTATCGTTGGTTGAAAATTTTTTTTTTATCATAATTATTGAAAAAAAGGTCTCCTTTCAAAAGAAAGGAATTTTCTCGAAATTTTTTCGAAAGCCGGCTCTCGTCAATTTGTTCCATAAATATTCTCTCAATCTTTGAATGATTTTCTTGGTAATGAATAATGACGCTTGTATCTTGTGCTTGTTCTATAAAAAGCTTGTTACCGATTCTCTAGCTTAACTTTTTTTATGAATCGTTAATCTACGCGTCTGTGAACGCAAATTTATTTTTCATTCCACCATACTAGATATGCCAAGTATAAATTACGCATAAGGAATCTAACGTACTTTAATAGGTACTCCTAGTAACTACTCCTGCATTTCAGAGAAAAGTATGGTTTGCTGCAAAAAGAAGTAAAAAATTCTCTTGGGATATTTACACCTACACTTAATACACTTTAAACGCTCAAGTGCGAAAATTATCACAAACCAAAAAAGTATATTTATCACAGTTTTCACATTAAAGCTTACTTTTGATAGTTTACACTTTTAATATTGTACTGTGGCTAATGAGTTTTTTTAAACTATAAAACTATGTTTGCAGTACTGAAAAGTAACCAAGTGGCATAAGTTTCCAATTCATATTACAGTTACAGTAGAAGTTGCGTAAGTTGCATGATGAAAACATGAGTGTACACATTTTTCAAATCCTCGAAAATCTTTTTCAAAAATTATTTAAACGTTTATCAACAAGTTAAGATTTTATAAAAATAATCACGAGTGTTCACAAAAGCTTTCACGAGTTTTTTCATACTACGCTGATTTTCATTTAGTTTTTAACATTTTAATCGAAATCCTGCGAAATGGTGGTTGAAAATGTTATTTTTTCTGTAGTTCATCACAACTCAACTACGATCTTAAGTTAGTGACAAAAATTATTGTTTTGACGTAACTTTATAACGCATTGCATGAATCTAAGGTCACATATATTATCAGATAATCCGAGTGTTTCTTCGTTTTCAACATTTTACACAATAAAGACACTTCTATAAGTGTAAAAGGTTATGCAAACTATAAAGAACAAGCATGCACGATGCTATTCCACGTAAGAGGAAGTTGTTTGAAATCGCATCACAATGCAATTATCTGAAAAAAACGCGCATCTACTATAATTGCGATAAAACTAGATTACACGTTTTTTTTGAATCGCGTAATCATTTGCGTACTTTGTGTTGATGCGTGAAAAAGCCCGATTTGCGACTTTTTTCAAATTGACACTGACGCGTTAATGAAAAAGCTTTGATGGAAAAAAAAATTATGGTCATTATGCGTGTTATTATTTTTCGTACTCGTCGATATTCACTGAAACACGTTGTCAGACAAGTTGAGTCACCTACACTGTATATTCCATAATCATACAAAAGAACAAGACGAACCGTAATAGCAATCGGTGACGTCGATGAGGCCATAGGGTAAACAGTACCCTTGTCTGCAGAAGCACTTGTTTTCAGGCCTGAAGTGGCCGTTGTCAAGCTCGTTATCCTTAAACTTGTATCTGTACGTGTTCAAGCCTCTGATGGTTTTTTCACCAGTGCGCACCTGTTAAAGAATAAAATAAAAATCTCACATCCATGACCCAAGCTGAAATAGTCCTTTCTACAATTCTCTGTCAAAGTAAAAGTGCCAATAACTCACCATGTCCGCACTACGGCATAGACTCTTGCGGAAAAATCTGAGCGTGTCGTTTGGCTCGATGAAACCCTGAAACTTGGCACCATCACTCGACTCCCTGACGTTGGCACACCTGCCCGTCCATTGAGGTAGGTTCTCCGAACCCTTGTACTTTTCGATTAAGCCTGTCAACCTCACATCTTTCTCGCCGGTGTAAACGGTTTCAAAGTCCCCATCAAAGTCGTACATCTAAAATTATTAGCGCTCATTACCATATCGTCACGTGTGTGTCTCTCAATGAATCTCAAAATAAGTTTATCCCATACGGCATGATTACGATTTACGGAAATTTATGCACATCATATAAGATAGGAAGAGTAGCAGCTTTTAATCTTGAACTCCGAGATATGGTTGTGTAAGTACTTACCCTGTCTATGAGCCCGAGCCGGCCGAACTTGATCCAAGCTGGCATGAGGTTATTACCAAGAGTTACCAAGGTCGACTCGTATCCAAACATGAACTCCTTGGCAGTCATGCGCACTAGGGGCTTCGAGTCCGTCTGCCGGATCAGTAGGTTCAACCCCCAGCGAGATATCACCGTTGCATCTTTCATCACGTCGGCTATACTCTGCAACAGAAGACATTTTTTTCTTTCTCAGTCAGTTTTTGGTACATATATTTTTTTAAAGACACATCGAACAAAGTGATGAAAGTTTCATTATTTCCACGTTTCATTATTTGAATAAGAATTCCATTCACACCATTTTCACCGTGCATTATCAATAAAGTCTCGGTTTCCTTTGACTTTCGTGTTTTGTGCGGCTAATCTCAGCGTAGCCAGCAGATTTTTGAGCCTTGATCCAAGTCCAAACAACTCTAGCCAGCAATAAAAAAAAATGCTTATCGTTCATATAGGGTTCCTCGGAAAATTGTTTTTTGAAATGGTCATCTGCCGATAGTCGTGAAAGAGCTACCAAAGAAGCTTCCAGTTAAATAAGTTTGGTTCAGTTTACGTTTTTAACTGTTTGTTTGAAATTTATTTCGTTTCAACAAATGTCAAGAATTCATGTAAGATTTTAAAATGCTCATGATCTGAACACATTTTCCTTTACGTATCGACACACGGGGAATCTCATGTGAAACCGAGACGGGAAATGCTAGTGATATTTGTATGTGGGTGATTCTGCCGTGAGTGGCCAATTTTGTGTCCAGAGCTCATGTTACTACATTAAATTAAAATTAAATGTTCAAATCCCGTGAAATTGTGCTAGAAGTGTTAATTTTCTTAGAAAAAACTTTCAAGCTGATATGTTATCTCCTCAATGAGATAATTAAGAAAATGTAGTCGAAATGTCACTTCCGTATCCCTCAGAGGTAAGAATGTCTCTTTTTCTAGCTTTCGAGCTTTGAAACTTAATGAAACTTTTTTACAGTATTTTTAGGATAAGTCATGAGACACGTGTCTCAGCGTTTGGTCTAATTAGCCTTTTTTCGCGAGATACATCGATGAATATCGATTTATTTTCGAACACTAGTAACGAAGGAGTACACTATTTTAGGTGGTCCAAAATAGGCTCAAATGACCACAAAAACGAAGCCTCATTGATTACAAAAAAATTTGTTGAATTTGGTGCTTTCAATCAAAGGTTATATGGGTTTTTTATTTAAATACGAATTTTCGGTAAAAATGTATGAAATTTCATTTTTAGCTATATTTGTCGCTCCTGTTTAAACAGCTGTAACTTTTGAACAAAGGCACTAAATGGAACTAAATTTTTTTCAATCGATAGGGTTTGATTCTAACTTTCATTTCATTTGGGTAAGAACACTTCATCTATACAAGCAACTTAGCTACACGCATCAGAAGCAGACATATTTTTTTTCGAAAATTGGCTAAAATTGACTTATACAAAATACCGTATAACTTTTGACCCAAGAAGTTTGTTGGAGAATCGCTTCGGATATTTGCTGTGGATGGTATTTAAGATAGAACTATTATGAAAGAACATTTTTTTAACCAATTCATTTTAAAACGATTTTTTAAGGCACTTTGAGCCACTCACGGCGGATCACTCATATACATGAGCAAATCCACAAAACAATCCTTTTTATCTCCCATTTTAGTAAAAACATTTTTTTTTGAGGCATACCCTTGAAACCGGGCTCTTTTTACTCGTAATGTCATGCACTGCGAGGAAAAAATTTTGAACACAGGTTTCAGTAAGGGTGACACCCTTTTCATGCGAACTACATGTTTATATATATATGGGTGATTCTGCTGTAACTTGCTCAGATCGTGTCCGGTACTCATACTCACGTCCCGTAATGAAATCAAAAATTTTAAAAACGTCAAATTGTGTTAAATGTTGTCGACTTTACTTGACATATTACCATATACCAATATATTGATCTCTTCATTGAAATAATCGATAATTAAGAGTAAAATTTTCCATTCTGACCCATGTCCGCAACTCAATTTTACTCATGAAAGCTTTCACCGGTAAACAATAAGGCTCGTATGCCACTTGGGCGTGTAAGCATTATATACTCTAGCTATTGGGGATTAGATTCGTACCTTAGTCACACCAAAAATTGACAAAGACGAGTGAGTTTTTACTGCATATATTTTGTCCGCATATTTGCACCATAATCGCGGTTTTAACAAAAATCAGTTCAAACTAGTAAATTTTTGGATTGGAAATACTAACCAATGATCATTTTTCAAAGTATAGGACTAAAATGAATAAATTCTTACGACAGAAGTACCTGAAGTTGTTACCTCTCGAATAGCCAAGCTCTTCTTTTTGCGTATTTCGCGCGTACAAACATTTTCTTCCGTTTCGACCTCCGTGGAACAACCACTCGGTGTGCGTGTGCAATTACGCAAACTACAGTTTATTCTTATTTCAATTGAGGCTAGTAAAAATTATGGGTGGACAAGTCATTGTAATACGTCTAAGAGTCGTACGAGCACTACAAACATTGAAAATTCCATTCCGACCCTACCTCACCTCAAAGTTCCGTTTTTTTTTCCTTTTAGAGTAATTAATCCCAGCCAAATTTTTTTTTTATCACTGTTGGGCTAAAAGACGAATTGGCCCTTTTTCGCTACGTAAATGCAAAAACGGTGGTGCTGCTTCCAACGTTGGTAGCCAAGTGGTACACTCCATTGTGTGGTTTCATCTGGGCTTAAATAAAAGCAAAAACATAGTCCTAATGTTTAAAATAAAAATCTTTGAATTTTATGCCGCAAATGAAAAGTTATAGTGATTTTATGAAAAATACTGAATTTTAGCCAAAATCACATTATTAGCGATATTTACGCTCTAATTGAAACAGCTGTAACTTTTGAATGGAGGCACAAAATCAAACAAAATTTTTTTTTAATCAATAAGTCTTGACCCCAGCTTTCATTTGAGCCCAGTAAAAGCACTCAAACTGTTGAAGGAGCTTAGCTACACGTGCTAGAAAGTGACACAATTCCTTGAAAATCGATGAAAGCTGACTTTTATAAAATTTCGTATAACTTTTGACCAGCAAATTTCATAGTTGCATCGTTTTAAATGTTTAATACTGATGTTGTATGGAGTAGAAATACCATGAAAAAAAATTTTTTTAACCAACTTCTTAAAAAAAAATTTTTTAAGTCGATCTGAGCAGGTTACGACAAAATCACCCATATACATAATAATAGCATGTAAATCGCGAAAAAAGGGTGTCGTCCCTACTGAAACCCGTGTTCAAAATTTTTTCCTCATAGTACATGACATTCCAAGTAAAATGAGCCGTATCTCGAAGGTGCAGTGCGTCGAAAAAATTTTTTTTATTGAAATTGGGGGCTAAAACAGGATATTTTTTGTTGATTTCCTCATATACACGACAACTTTAAAAAAAAAATAATCAACAAAGCATTTAACCAAACTATCAAAATAACGGTAAGCAATCCATTGTTGTCCTCACAAGTGTCATTACAAATAAAGAAGCGCCACTACTGCCCACCACAAACAGCTCTTCACCAATCGTTCATGTAGACGAGAGCGAATTGCCTGCATGTGTAGGTCAATATCCACGCGTTCTCCGAACTCTACTAAGTGCTAACTCCGCAGGATAAAAACGAGTTGGGTGCCAGCACAGAGTCGCCACTCTCCTAGAAGTGATTAAAAGGCTACATTAATCTCTTTAGCCATGAATGACAAGAGCAAGGCATGGACTGCCACGTGCCGTACTGTAAAATTCGTACGTGTGCAATGTCAACCAGTTAACGCAACTGTACTAGATTGTACTTTTTGAAATGTAGTGAGGTACGGAGTATTTCTGATACGTATGAGGGTATGAGTCTGATTTTTTCACGGTAAGGCAGAGTTGTAAGTTTTCCTCCAAAGTTCGATCTACGAAAAAAACAATTTTGGAAAAAAATACTTTTCATTGTAATCGTCGTATCTTGATCCATGGCCATCGATATTTAAGGATAAGGATTCATTCGTATCGTACGTACGATTATTCACTAACAAACGAGAAATGTATACTCCCCATTACGTTCACTTGTGTTTACAATTGCATAAGCTAGCTGTCAGGAGACGCGAGCTCTCTGTGATTCATGGATCTGCAGACTAATTATTCACCGTGATCTGGTTAGGCGATGCTCGTTTTTTCCTATTTTTTCTTTTTTCAACTCAATCAGTTTCTTTTAGAGACGCGAATGCTCATGTATCCAGTCACTTTTTTCACTCTACTTTTTTTCTCCTCTTTTCGATTTAAACACTCGAGATTCATTGAAAAAAAAATTTACCACTACGCAAAGATGAATTGTTTACCGTATATTTTAAATAGTACGAAATAAACATTATACCTGCTTGGAAAGAGCAATAATACTCTTGCGTAATGTTATTCACTGGTCTGTACAGTTCCAAAACTTTTGGAGTAGGTACCAACTGATTTCAAACACAAAACAACGGACCTATCTGAAAAAAACTCGAGATTTGAGGAAAATATTCAAAAGACAACCCATTGTTTGTAATGTTTGACTAACTCTAAAAACATATACATCCAATGCTTCCTCGACTAAAAAGGAGACTGTGACAGATTACCTCCGAAATTTAAAGTCACTTTTGTACTCCTTGTATACGTATAACAATCCAACACTCGAAAGCCTTATTCACTCACGGAAAATTTAAATGCAGAGTATTCCTGATCACGTGACTGATGCAAGAGGCTCCGGTTAAGCCGTTGCAGAGAAGCAGCAGCAGGTACAGCGAACGCTCGGGTCATCATCGATATGCTCGTTCCTCCTGTGCAGTTGTATAAGCGCACGGTGTGTGAGTATCATGTATATTGCGTTATAAGTGTACACTGCAAACGTGTTTTATGCAATTCATACCGAGGAGTCAACTTTTTTACATAACGCGTTCATTCACGTCGGTGCGTTTTTTTCTCTTCTCCCCTCTACTTTTCTTCCAAAAACTAATGGGGCACAAGGCTAAAAATGATAACTGGCGCTGTTTTCAATATTGCGTCGAAGAAGGGGAACTACAACGATTAAGCCTCCGATTTTTCTATCGGGGTGAGTTTCACTTTGTTTCCTCTTTTGATGTTTGTGAGAGTATGTGATGAAGAAGTAGGCTTTTAATC